TGCAAACATAATAGTGTGTGTCCTAAAATGAACTATAACAGCCACAATAAGAAAGGAGGTCTAAATTGTGACATTTCAGGCCAGGCTAGAGTCAGACTCCCTGGTAGAAGGTGAAATAGGAAAGGATCTCTTTTTTGGTTTAACATTTACTAAGGACTTAACTTTCCAAAAAAATAGAAGGAGTGCTAGTGTCGTCATTTTACATTTTGTTTGTAGTTGTGTCTTACTACATGATACTCCCACCTCATTCTTTTTATTGATTATATGATCAAGTGTGATTATGATCATATTGCACAAGCACATGTACACATACATTTACATGCATACATACACACATGTACACACATTTTGATTGCAGAGCTATTTGCTAAAATGTTGGAAAATTAAGAAAGAAAGAAAGAAGAGAAATACAACCAGCACTATATTTTTTGTGGTAACAAAATTTGATAGCTACATTAATGATTGATTTAGAAACAACTCAAAACATGTCTTCTGTTATATGACTTTTTTTATCATCTACGCTTTTAAAGATGTAGTGAAGCTTTATTTTCCATGTGAATTACAATCCTTCCCCCATCATGAGTATCTGCTATTTGAATTACCAAAGAATGGAAGATATTTGGTGTTAAGTTTCATGTTGATGGAGGTTGAAAAAATATAAAAATGAAAAAGTACTGAAAACTATAGCTTTACAGTAATTTTGTGAAAGAAAGGAAAAAGAAGATAAGGTAATTTTCATGTATAAAAACTAGTAATTTGGTATGATAACAAATACAAACCTGTGCTTGTCTTTCTTCATGAACATATCATTTATTTGAACCCTTCCGAGATGAGCTAGATGTGACTGAGATTTTGAGTGGCCATGACAGGTGGATCTCCTTGATGGTGACAAGGAATATATAATTTCTGTTTCATTGTTTATTTCAGAATTTATCCAGCGTGTGAATTTGTTTTGGTAGAATTATCAGTAGTTGTCTGTTGTTGTTTTTGTTAAAAAATTGATGGTTATATAAATCTGCTCTGGAAGGGTATTTAAGGTTGTGCAGTCGGATAAGGTCAGGTTGACAATGCTGCTATGGTCCATCTTGCCAAAGCGGTAAGGAAGAAAGTTTTTCGCAATAGATTTTCATATATGTAGCAGAAATCATACCATCTACATCTGTAGTTGTACTCTACAACATTGGCCATGTTATAATTTGGTGAGTATTTTGTTTTTATAAAGGAATAAAATTTGTTGGTCATTCATATCACTGGGGGTCAACATCCACAGCAAGGAGAGTGTTAAACATACCTGAAAATTGCAAAGTGTTAATTGATAAGACTAATGTTACCAAGATTTGTGTTAATTGATGAAATCCATCAGAGAAGAAATTATGATATTACTATTTGTTGCTCTGGTTATTACCCAGTCGTCCTTGATGGTAAAAATACATGCTGTGATCTCTGGAATTTTAGTTTATTAATTGCATTGACATACATAAGGTTCCACAAGTGCTTAGTCAGCAACCTGTGTACTATTTTCTGTGATTTTTGTATTATTTAATTATCTTTATTGTTATTAATATTTCATTAACGTGATAATCATTATGGCATTTATATTGATCACAGTATTGATATTGATAATATCAAAACGAAATTGTATATCTTCAAGGAATGGGGAAATCAGACTCAATCATTACGGCTTACTATTTGACTCCTTGTTTGGTGGAACTATCGGTGTGCAAGAAAAACAACACACATAAAACAAAAAAACAAGAAAAAGCAGTGGACAGCACATGAATTAGAGTGAATGGGCTGATTTATTATTGTTATGTATTTGCATGTCTTTAGAAAGATTTGATAGATTTATTCTTATTTGTTGGTTTTAGTCACGGTTAATTTCTACCACTTTTTTTGAATGTTGATTTTTATGATTTATGATGTCTTTATTTATTTAGACATTTTATCAGGCTTTATAGTGGCATTTAAAAAAAAATGAATTGTTGCTTTAGTACAGCATGAAAATATAACATGTAACCCAAAAATGATGAGTAAAATCTTGAGCAAAGTCCCACAAGGATGACATAATTGACATTTAGAATTTAATGCTAGCCAGATACTAAAGATAAGCACAGACACACCTCTGTTTGCAAGGAGGATCAGGTTTCTAATACTGTTTCATAAGCTGAAGGTAAACTGCCCAGTTTACTGCCGTGAGATTGACCGAATAAATGATAGAGTGAAGTTCCTATTTTGATAATAAAAAAGATTGCCAATAAACACTGAAATTATGCTGTAACCCTAATGACTTTGTAGCAGTTTAAGTAAAATGATTTTACTGTTGCAGAAACCAGTAATCTCAGTCTTTTAATGGTGTCTTTATGGAGGAATTCATGATGTGGACAATTGAAGGTGCACCTTGTGGTGTTATGATTAATCTCAGAACATGGTGGTGACATGGAACTAATACACTTGCCTGCTGTCATTGGTTCTGCGAGACTCTCCACTCTTGCAAGAGAATTTGTCCACTAGCTATGGAGTCATTAGAAAGGACAAGAGACACTAGGAGCATCAGAGCAGGGAATATTGTTCGTTGAGAGGTTTTATTAAGCACCAAGAAGCGTTAGTCTCCCAAGTGTCCTACATCATTATAGATGATATATATATTTTTTTATTTCTGAGGACATTTAAAGAATGAAATAGTAAAAAAAAAGTTTTTTTTCTTCTGTATTTTCCAATTCCATAAAGCAGAAAAGCTGTAATGAGTAACTGAAAAGGCCAAATTTACCATCCTTTGCGATATTCTTTTTGCACATGTAACTTATCAGCTTTCAGAGATTCAAGTAGTGTTAGTCATGGAAATAAATGATTCAAAGTGTTCCTAGTCTTGACCTTGGATGCTAATATTAAGTTTTATAGTTGATGTAGTGTTAGGCAAGTATTATGATCTTGATTAAAATAGTGAAAAAGACATGCCTTTTAGGATAGTGGTAGAATTAAAGGGTAGAATGCCATGGTAATGCTGGCTTAGGATGTTATATATTTACACTTAGAGATTAGAGTAATATTTTCATAAACACTGTATGGTCTCGTGCTTGCTTGATTTTTTTTTCTTTTCTTTTCATAGTTGCGGCAAGTGTAATCTCAGTCAGTATTGGGGATAGGAAAAATGTCTGATTTTACAAAGCAGTTTAACCTTTTATATGTTGTGGTGCATTCTATGTACTTCCCTTTGACTAAGGAAAATATAGGAGAGGGAAAGTACCTGGTATTGATTCTGTTCATGAACAAGACTACAAATCCGTTGGTGATAGGACTATTGATAGCAACTGAGGTAGTTTTTATTAGCATGAAGTTTGTTTTGTGCTTGAGCCTTACATTCAGATGACATGTAATTCCTGCGAAAAATAAACAGATGCTAAGTTGCTTTGGTTTTGGAAGTTGTAAGTTTATTCAGAAAGGAAAACTTGCAGCACTTTGATGTCAAAAGGAGGATTTTTGGAAAAGAGAATTCAGTGTTATAAAAGTGGTATGTTGATTTGCAGCTTAATGAGAGGACTTGTTGCCTTTGACATGATGTTCTTATTGTTATGTTCATCAGCTGTTATTCATGTTCTTACATCTAAGATGGTTCATTTTTACAGCCATCCTATATTGGTTTATATCAGTGAAAGTTTTTTATCATTATTTATAGTTTGCTGTAACTTTTATTATGTCTACTCTTTATAAATCATACTGATCACTTGTTTTGTAGTTTGGATATAATGGGAAGTAAGATCCTATTCAGATTTTTCCATCTGAGAAAAACAGTTCTGATGAATACTGATTTTGCAATTTTTGTATTTTCCTTATAACGTGAAAATCTCTTGTTTTGCTAAAAAAAACTAGAAATTGTGTGGTGTGATATCCTTTGAAAAGGAATTAGATTGGAGCACTAGAAAGAAACATGTATTAGAAATTGACATGTTACTTAAGATCCGTAATATAGATTCCCTATTTTGATTTAACGGCCATTCTTTTTCAAGGCATAGATTTACGCTACTTGCATTCACAGTTTTTCTTAGTACCACAGTTATTTAATGGACAAGTTTATTGATTAAATTAGTTCCTGTCTGGTCAGTCAGTTATGTATGATTACCCAGTTATGGAAATGAAAAGTATGATTGGCCTTCCATCCCAACATTAAAGGGTTAGATTGACTTTCCATGTATAATGTCACCGTTTAAAAGAATCAGATAATGATTTATTAGATTTTATTTCAAATTTATCCTGTTTGATTTATTAAAGGAATGTATATAAACTTTTCATGAGATTGTGCTTAAAGAAATAATGAAAATGTCAACTTTTAGGATGTAAAGAATGTTTCAGTTTGCAATTTATTTTTAAATGAAGCGAATTCATTTATAAAAGATTCTATAAACCCAATGAGTACATTGTAGATAGTCAGAACTTCACAGTTAATTGCGTTTCATACTTTAGTTAATTGAATGCTTGCTTAAGTCAGCATTGTGAATGCTGTGCAAAGGCATGGATAGTGTGCATGTAATAATTGCTTCTTGTTGCAACCTGTATAATCCAGCTTTGCATTTGGTGCTGAAATCTGAATTCTAAGATTCCTTTTTTAAGTTCTAGCTTTTAAAGATTAATATAATAAAGAGGCCAACAGCATATATACACAAGTTGTTCACAATCATCAAAATTGATTGCTTGGAAACGTACATCTTTCATTGCTTCAGCATCATACATAACTTCATGAATCCATTGTCAAACAGTATTGGATTGAAATGTTAAAAGTGCCAGATTTGCCTTTCAACCGTGTTATATCAGCCTTATGATGTTTTTTTTCTATTAAGTATATAGATGGTGAATGGTAAAGACTTCAAAAATCTTCAACATGTTTATCATCTGTGGTCATTTTTATGCATTTATATAGTTTATATATATATATATAAGGTGGAAGATATTTTGATGCTACCTCTGTCATCACTGAGAATTTGTACAAAAGAGTAGCAGGGTTATTTCATGCTTTTCTTGTAACTTCCTAAAAAAACAACAAAAAACACACAATTGGAGAAGAGAACTAATCCTTTTGTGAATTATTTATAGGGAGTTCTTCATACGATCCTCAAACCCTCCTTATAAAGTAAGGTGAATTTCTGGAATATTTACAAGAAGAGTATATTTTGTGAAAAGTTTATTGCAGTTTGATTGTCTTATCAGATTACAGGAAACAATAATGATGAGCAAGAGTCATTCTTGTGTTTAAATATAACCTTTTTTTTTTTGTCTATTTTGAGGTTCTGGAAGATATTTCCTTCAGTGTTTTCCCCTGGCTTTGTATTTCATTGAAGTTAATTGTTAATATTTTTTCACAAGAAACAAAAATACATCCAATAATCTGTCATGATAAACGAGTATAGTAAGCTAATGTAAATGATTTTGATAACTGTGAATAAACGATAAGGACTCTTTCATAATTAAAGGATAATGAAAAGTGTTTTCTCTATCCTTTGAAGAGAAATTGTTCCCCCCCAAAAAAAGAAAAAAAAGCAAGAAAAAAAGACGAAAAAAAGACTGGGTGAAAGAGGAGGGAGTACTTGCTATTGAAACGCATATTAACTTAGTAGATATTTGGTATATCTAAGGTTGATATGCTCTGAGATATGTATAATTTGGACTATTAAAAGTCCATTGCGTTTATAATAGAATCTGTTAACATAATTGCCTTTACATTATTAAAAATCTAACATCTTATTCGTGTTTATATCATAAAACATCTATTAACTTGATTGTGTTTACATAAATGTTGCATTTCTCAAACCACAATATGTATCAAAGGCAATATCTTCAGTATTATGTATACAAAATACAAACACTGTATAGACGACTGAAGGAAAGAACAAATGAATAGTCTCATGCATATCAAGTCAGACTTGCTAGAAGAAAAGAATATGAACAGTTACATAGAGTATGGAATTATGTGATTAGATGACTGCTCTGGTGATATCTATTGCCAAGCAAATCCCACGGTAAATTATGATTTTTATATCTGAAACCGGTCGGATGTTCCTTATTTCCTGCACTATTAAAGCTGCGAATTCCCTGGTTCTGATGCGGGAACTCTTCCCTGCTTTGGGTAATATATATGATGCAGTTAGATCAGAATGTGATGAATGTATAACAAAGGATGCAGTGGAGGTTGCTTGTCGAGGTTGTTACCTGGAGTCATTTGGCTGGTTTTGCATCACCTGCATTTGGGACTTTTTGTGATTTTGAGGGGATTGCTCCTTTACTTAGCGATTATTCTGAACTTGAAACTTTGAGCAGAAATCGAAGGAAGAGTCTATTGTCATTTCCATGGATTGTGTCTGTAGTATGTCTTATGTATGCATGTACATATGTATACGCACAAACACATAAAGTGAAGATGTAGCATGATAACTCTGTCAGCTGCAGATTCATGAGCAAGCATAATCGGAGTCGATTAATTACATCAATGCATGCAATTAATTACATCATCGACTTTTGACACTAATATTTATGTGCACACCTAAGCGTACATACTGACGCACCCACAGTTAGCGAAGCCTAAAGCTGTACACTCCCTTCAATACAGTCTTAACGTACAAAAGCGAAAAATACAATCGGCGCCAGGTAGCACTTAACTACGTCCACGAATGTAATTAAACACACGCGAAATTAATAGCTAGATGCATCAACTCTCAAGTTCATTCCCCAGCATTGCCAGCGTCTGACCTGCCCGTTTCGACTCCTGTATCCGAGACACGTGTCATCACGACAAGGGGACATGCACACTGACTCACCCTTATACAAGTGTAATCTGTAAGCACATTCCGTGGGGCTTCCTGGCGAGCACCTCACGGACACAGTCGGCGCTCGACTGAATTCATCGTCTATCTATCTTTCTTTGTATCTGTCTATCTGTCGATCTATCTATCTATCTATCTATCTATCTATCTATCTATCTATCTATCTATCTATCTATCTATCTATCTATCTATCTATCTATCTATCTATCTATCTATCTATCTATCTATCTATCTATCTATCTATCTATCTATCTATCTATCTATCTATCAATATCTGTACCTATCTATCTATATGTGCTAAGTTAAAACGCTTAACTACGTAGGCTTTTGCACTGCATGTAGGGGCTAAAAATGAAATGTGAAGTGCGAATCCCCGTAGACTTCTGCAAATACGGAAATCCATGAAATGTTGAGTATACTGCAGTTCTCCATCTATTCGAGTAACATACCACAGGAATCTTTGTTACAATCATACTTGTGCCGTGAGTGTGATTTTACTTTCATTTTTTTTTCTTTTCATGATTTAAGTATTTTCATTTACAATTAAAAGAGATCACAGGAAAAAATAATTCCGACATACCTGACTTAGTAAATGACATCCTAAGTAACAATATAATTTTATTGCGTATCAGAGTAATCAAACTTCAACACATTAGTCTCAGATGATAAAATACGGTATTAATAGCCCACGTCCATTGGCGTTAACTGGCGTCTCGTGTGAAGAAGGCCTAATTTAACACATTCTCAAGTGTAGCGTATAGGTATTTGCAACAATAAAAAATCGTTTTACCCTTGTTAAGCTCTCTAGCTTTTACACAATTGTAATATTATGTACCGCCAGATAGTCGATAATACGTAAATAAAACCAATTTCCGAAACCGACGTAAATGACTGGTTTTTTATGATATAAAAGGAGGTGCTGCTGAAAGTTTCTCCTTGTTGGCAAAAATAATTTAGGTGACAATCGAGTTAAAAATTTCAAATGAGAGTGGAACTTTGTAGCAGACTTTCGTATCCTTGACATCCATAAATAAAGAAACAAATGCATATTTATCAGTCTAGACATGCATATTAACCCGGCAAATAGATGGTTAAGTGTATATCTAGCAGTTATATACACAAATATGCCTTTACTTCTGCGTCTGTATTTATGAAAATTCATTGGGTCGGGCCTGCGCAATTTTAAAAACCGGCCGTTTAGAATGCAGATTTTCCGTTTTTTTGTTTTTTTTTTTTGCCTCAACTAATTTTGCATGGTTTCTTTCTTCTCCATTTCCCTTTAGTTCTCTTCTTCATCCCCTTCTTCTGTCCACATCTTACAGTATGATAACGGCCTTCGTACTCCGTTTGCTCTCTCCTCTTTACCCTTTCACTACCAGACATTCTTACAGCTTTCTACAGGCTTTGACATCTAACATATTTTGTCCTAATCGCTAACTCGGTTTTAACTTTTAACACAATATTTTATCTTAGTGCTATTTTGATTATCTTTGAACACAATCGCTAATGACAGATGTTGACGGGGCAGAATTTCTTCAATAAACAAATAGATTAAAAAAAACTTCGTGAACTTTAGGAAAAAAAGAAAATGAAGACCGATGACTCAATAAAGCAAAGGAAAATACCCTTACTGTTGAGTAGCTGAAAAGGCGAATTTTCGAGGTCAACCTGCGACTCTGGGGTTTATAGATCGAACAGCAATCCAAATCATTCGTGTAAAACAAACAGCTTGTGCAATTAGATTAAAAATCAACAATACCAGACATAAAAAACATTAGAAGCAAATGATTATTAATTTCCCAAAAAGTAAAGTATAGTTCCATGCCCCCTTCGAAATGCAAGGCCCGAATCTCAACAGAAAACGGGCACCGCTTCCCGTTTTCCGTGTTCGAAATGGGAACCGCGACGCAAGCAGGACCCCGTCAATTTTCAGGAGCTGGTCGGTCTCGCTTGAAAACCTTTGTTGGTCCTCCAGATTGACCTTCGTAGAATCATTGAGATAAAGAGAGGGGGAGAGAGAGCTTAAGAGCTGTTGCAGATGTATTTACACACTTAAAAAATACCAGAAGAAATGCTTTTTTTTTTTTTTTTTTTTTTTTTTTTTTTTTTTTTTTTTTTACCCATTCTATAATTATATAACACTTCGCGTTTTTCTAAAAAGCAATAAGAAAATCAAAGGAATAATGGATGCATAAGTTTTATACTACTGATTTTTTTTAATATTCGAAAAGATATACAGACGGTTAGGAGGTCAAGTCAGGAAGCAGATGCGTTCGAAAAAAAAAAAAAAAAAAAAAAAAAAAAAAAAAAAAAAAAAAACAGAGTCTGAAAGTCTATTTGTGGTAGGCATTTTAAGTTACCTTGAAAATGGATAATGATATAACATCGCGAATCAAATATCTGTTAATGCTGAATTAAGTGACAATTCACAAAGTTTAAATTGATGTGGTTGCTATATCTAATCTATCTTTTTCTCAATCTCTCTCTCTCTCTCTTGCTCTTCCTCTCTCTCTTCTTCATCTCTCCTTTTCTCTTCTCCTCTCTCTCGTCTTCTCTCTCACTCCAACTCTCTCTCTCTCTCACTCTCTCTCTCTCTCTCTCTCTCTCTCTCTCTTCTCTCTCCTTCTCTCTCTCTCTCTCTCTCTTCTCTCTCTCTCTCTCTCTCTCTCTCTCTCTCTCTCTCCTCTTCTCTCTCCTCTCTCCTCTCTCTCTTTCTCTCTCTCTCTCCCTCTCCTCTCTCTCTCTCCTCTGTCTCTGTCTCTATCTCTGGTCTGTCTGTCTGTCTGGTCTTCTGTCTTGTCTGTCGTCTGCTCTGTCTGTCTGTCTGTCTGTCTGTCTCTCTCTCTCTCTCCCTCTGTCTCCTCTGCTGGTTTCTGTCTGTCTGTCTTTCTGTCTGTCTGTCTCTCTTCTCTCCTTCATTCTTCTTCCTTCCTTCTCGCTCTCTCCCTCTGTCTCTGTCGTCTCTGTCTTGTCTGTCTCTCTCTTCTCTCTCTCTCTCCTCTCTCTTCTCTCTCTCTGTCGTCTGTCTGTCTTCTGTCTGTCTCTCTCTCTCTCTCTCTCCTCTCTCTCTCTCTCTCTCTCTCTCGTCTCTCTCTCTCTCTCTCTCTCTTCTCTCTTCTCTCTCTCTCTCTCTCTCTCTCTCTCTCTCTCTCTCTCTCCTCTCTCTCTCTCTTCTCTCCTCCTCTCTCTCTCTCTCTCTCTTCTCTCTCTCTCTCTCCCTCTCTCTCTCTCTCTCTCTTCTCTCTCTCTCTCTCTCTCTCTCTCTTCTCTCTCTCTCTCTCTCTCTCTCTCTCTTCTCTCTCTCTCTCTCTCTCTCTCTCTCGCTCTCTCTCTCTCTCTCTCTCTCTCTCCTCTCTCTTCTCTCTTCTCTCTCTCTCTCTCTCTCTCTCTCTCTCTCTCTCTCTCTCTCTCTCTCTCTCTCTCTCTCTCTCTCTCTCTCTCTTCTCTCTCTCTCTCTCTCCTCTCTCCTCTCTCTCTCTCCCCTCTGTCTCTGTCTGTCTGTCTCTCTGTCTCTCTCTCTCTCTCTCTCTCTCTCTCTCTCTCTCTCTCTCTCTCTCTCTCTCTCTCTCTTCTCTCTCTCTCTCTCTCTCTCTCTCTCTCTCTCTCTCTCTCTCTCTCTCTCCCTCTCTCTCCACTGACACACATTCATACTCCCTCATACAGTGGCGGTCAAATAATGGAAACAACCCCCCCCCCCCCGCCT